TCCAAGCCTTTAATTAAAGCCTACAAAACCTGAGCTGCATAAAATAGCCCTTGGAGAATCTCCCAGCAATATCTTGGTGTAGCTTACACCACTAAATGTTTGTTCTACCAATGACTGCGCATTGCTGGGCTGTCAACTACTGTTGTATCCAGATTCAGCATCTCTGGGTTCTCTCTAAAAACTCTGACAATTCAGTCTGTGGACTTCCACCAACCCTTAGGGAGTTGATCACTTGACTTTGATTGAATTATGAATCAGACATCTTGTTCCAACAGGCTCCTTTGTAAACTCTATTCCTGATTTCCAACTATGAGACAGGCTCCTGTTTTGCTTAGCACAACTATTCGCTAAAGTTAACCCCTTGCTTCAGCTTAGCATTTAAACATTAAAAAAAAAAAATCAAAACTGATGAAACAATACCCAAAACACACGTCCATGAGAAGTCAAACTCTGAAATGCAGGTTCAGTCTTTATATTGTATTTGTAACATGTAAAACACACAGGTCAACACTGATAAGGAAACTATGAACCTGAAGCGGTACCTCCTTATATTTTTCCTGCAGAGCAGCCCTGGCAGAGGAAAGTTCCTGCTCTCGAACACTCAGGCAAGCTTCCAAAGCCTGTGTCTGTCCTTCCCATTCAGATTTCTTGTGAGCCACCATAATGTCGATCTGCTTCATCAGCTCCTGCAGCTCAGCCTCACAGGAAGTCAAGAACCCACTGCTGGAAGGGATACAAAGCAGGCACCACCCAACACAGGTCTAGTGTCCCATACCAACAAAGTCAGCAGAACAAACTGACTTGCACCAAAGGACCAACTCTGCACATGCAGTGCTTTGTACTCTATGCAAATTAGCTTGCAGAGAAATGTATTTAATACTTACGCATTCATCCCATTCTCTAATGAAACATCTCACAAGTGGTATGTTCGTATCACTGGGCAGAGATCTAAATTTGGCAATGACCAACGAAGAATACTTGTGAAATACCAGTGAGAACAAATGACCTACACACTTTAAATGTAGGGGGGTTGTCTTCTATACAGAGAACCGTTACAAGAACTTATAAACACTTATCTTTTGTCTCAGTACTATGCATTATCTAAGTAAACTGGAGCATGTTCTACCCTTATATTATCCTATGCTTTAATTGCTCTCCAGGCAGAGGCATTTTATACCAAGTTTCAGTCACCAGAGAAATCTTACAGCCAAGCTATCGGCTCCTGAAAACAGAAGTTTATCACAAATGCAGACAAACCCCTAAGTAGAGGGGGTTGGATGACAACATGATAATGAAGAATAAAACATTCGCAATCCATTGGGGAGAGCATGCTCCCTAGCGATGCTGCAATTTCTAATTTGGTGCAGTAATTATTGAAGTCAATTCAACTAACTCCTCCAAAACTTCACAAGCTGCTAAGCCAGGGACAATATTAAGTCTTGCAAGATACAGCCCTAGAGGACGGTGAACTCCATGATGATCTTTACCCCTTTAATTTGCCTGTCAAACAGGAAGCACTGAAAAGAAATGGAAATCAATAGGTTAAGGGATTGAAATTTCTCTGTTCCTCCAGAGCATATGCACACTTCACA